ATGCAGGTGTTTTTGTTTTTAATTCTGAACGTTTATACTGTAATACAAGATACAGACTGCTGTGGCCTCAAAATACGCAACACTTCGATTGTCACAGTGAAACTGTCTATTTTAACCCCCACACAATTAACTGTGCAGTAGTGACACGACAATGTTTTTGTGGTGTTTTTTTTTTTGGATTTTGCTTTTTTTTTACTGTATCTCTGTTCTGGGACTGTGTCTTCATGGTATATTCCACAGCATAATTTAAAAGAGGAAAAACAGAAACTAGTGCAGATTAGCTGCTGCGCGTTTTAGTCTCTTTAAAGCAGAAAATTTAAGGTGTACTGTAGTAAAAGTAGCCGTGCAAAACCTCGTACAGTACATTCTCTCGGAAACTGCGGTATTTAAAATTCAGTTTTAAACACCACATGGGTTATACCCTTGATTCCCCCATTTCAAAAACACAACAATTTCACAGTGATTGGATCTTTATATCATGATCATTCTTCGCAGTTGTCAGCCACAATAAACACACAAAAAAATCCCATTTTGCTATGCTTATATTAAAAACAACAACAGTCTCAGACTCGGCACGCAGAACAATTCGAAAAGTGGAAGGTACAGATTTCTTCCAAGTTATTGCATGTACAGCACAACAGCTAATTAATTTCTTCTCCTTAATGCATGCATGACTTCTGAGATAGACAAATTAGTCATTAGAGGGATTGGACCACCTCTGGAGCTATTAGTCATAGATGCAGAAAAATAATTTACAAGCCAAAGATGAAGTTAATTGGAATTCACTCATTATGCAGAATTTGCTTTTGATTAACAAACAGTTAGCAATTTCAGACTGAATGACGTCTTTCATGCTGTTGTTACAGACATCTGGTTCCAGGTGTAGAAATCTTGTGAGATCATTACTTGTGTAGAAATACATTTGTTCAGAGAGACTTCCACCTGCTCTGTTAAGAAAACAGGCTTCACTTTACCTGATCTGAAGTGATAGCAGGAAATGTATCACTAGGAAATCTATGATGTCTGTCTATACTGAAATTGCCAAAATGTGTGTGGCATGCCCTGTGTTTTAGTTCAAGTGGCTGTAATGTTTTTTAAACCGGTGTCAGTTTTGATAGTTGTTTTCAAAACATGAAGAAAGTTCCTGTATGATGATGATAATAATAATAATAATAATAATAATAATAATAATAATAATAATAATAAACTTTATTTTATATTGCGCCTTTAAAGGTGGCTTCTCAAAGCGCTTTACAGGATGACAATAACAATAAATAAGAAGACTACAACAATAAATAAGAAGATTTCACAAGATAGGACACAATTATAATTACAACAATACAACAATAACAATAGAGGAGACCATGGAAGATGGTATTAAGAAGAGCAGATGGGTGAAGAATGGAACCAGTTAAGTAAAGGCTTTTCTGAAGAAGAAGGTTTTGAGTCTGGATTTGAAGGAGTTTAGAGAAGGTGACTCTCTAATATCCTTGGGCAAAGAGTTCCAGAGCTTGGGGGCATAGCAGGAGAAGGCCCTGGAGAAGGAGATAGCATAGCAGGAGATAGCAGGAGAATGATATTTGCCCCATAGCAGGAGAATGATATTTCCAGTAACAGTTATATAGCTGAAGGGTATCGGTGACATCGGTTTTTTTTGCACTCTGAGACTGTAGCTTTTCAACAGGCTCCTCTCAACATGACACACGGATGTTCCCGAGCTCTTCATGGTGTGGTTACAAAGGATCTTAAAAATTCAACATACAAACCCATATGAAAATGCACAATTGCTCAAAATCAGGAATGAATTCAGATCATTTTGCCGATTTTCATCATGGAAACAAAATCCTTGAAATAGAATATCTCTCAATAATTTAATTTAAGGATGTTCAGTATTACAGTATGTGCAGTATAAGTCACATTGATATGTAGTTATAATCCTGATGGGAAAAGAAAGCCTTTAACATCTGAAGCATTATAATTCAATTAACTTATTTTCTGTTAAACCTACCACACTGGAAAGTGAGCCATCATGGTTTCAGCACCTGCATGATAAAACTACCATGTTGACAAGGGATCTTGTTTCTTCCAAAGGGACTGTGGATCACTTAGTCTGTTTTTCTTCTTTATTAATTAGCATCACAGCTTTACTTTAAATAATAGTAAAGTTGCAAAGTTGTTAAACTGTGAAATGTTAGTTAATTAAATCGTATTTCTTAATTATTAGTGGGCATGGCATGATATTTAAAATACTGTTAATTTAGGCTGTAGATGTAAGTTTGTCATGGGTAAAATTAAAAGTAAACCAATCTAAAGTCATACCTGTTACACTAATAAGAAAAGTTTTCAGAAAGAGATTCTATGCACAGATTAAAATCCCAAGGGTATAAACGAGCAAACTGAACTTTAAAAGAAGGCATCTGTTTATTTGATACATGAAAGCTCCTTATCCCATGATAATTATCACATTCTCTGTTCTCAGAAAGCCCTTCTGTTCATTGGTAACCATCCCCATATCTGTGTGCCTTCAACACATGACGTACTAAATATTAAAATTGATATAAAAAGGAAGTTTTAAATAGAACTGGCACATCCAGTGGTACACCAGCTAAACCCATTTAGGGGTAAGTGTACTTTATGTACTTTATCAATATCTGAATGTTTTCAGATTTCTAAAGTGAATATAATTTTACTTGAGCAAAGTCAGCACTAGAGATACTTTTTAAAGTATAATACCTTCTACTAAACATAAATCTGTTAAATATCAATAATTATTAATACCTCTATTCAAACATAACATGTATTTTTATTGTTTTAGCTCTGCACTATTTCCAGTGTCAAGGATAATTTTGACTACATCTCAGAAAGATTGCACATAATATGCAATTGTGGTTAATGCTCTTTAATGTGTAAGAAATCCGGGTGTTTTCAGTGATTTTCAGTACTCCAGGTTTCTGCCTATTTCTGTTAGTTAGCCATGAGCAATGCACAGGAACATAAGCACAGTTCCATTTTGTCTTTGTGTAATTAAGGATGAAAATGAAGTAGTAGATTTCAACTGTCAGACCAAAGTGGTGACTAGTTAGGTCTTCAAATGGTTTTGTAACATATGAACACCTAAAAAAAACAAATTAAATTCAATAAAGAATAAAAACTGTTGTCAATCTGTCACTGAAAGCTCTCATAGAAAAGAAAAGATCCCTGGATTGTAACCACAATTTAAGATTACTCAGTGACAGAGATATGGGGATATTTCTCTTAACACTAAATGCAGACAACTGTCCTGTATCAAAAATATTATTAATTCTAAATATAATTTAATACTGATAGAAAACTAATGTTTGAATCATTTGTGATCATATTGAATAATTTTGGTAATGCTGTAGTTATAGTACAACACCATTCATTTTCTATACAACTAACTTGATCATTTGTACACAGGAGGTACAGCAGGAGGACATTATAGGGTAGGATCGGATGTAAAGATATAAAAATGAATACGCAGAAAAACATGCGTATATCAGGATTACATTAAAACAGTCAGTTTAGATTACAGAAACATGTAGATTTCCTTTTCTAGATGAGAGACACTTGTTTTGTTAGAAACCAGAACCAGTGTTCATTATATCTACTGTATTTTGGTTTTTAATAGAGTTCCTTTATAAGATCACCATGCTCCTCTTCAGGTAAAATGTTTTAAGTTCTTCCAATTCAAAACATGTTAAAGACAAGTCCCAGCTGATAAATGTAATCATTGACAGGCATTGTACTGTAATACAAGGCAAACTAGCAGATGGTTGCTTTCTAGTACTCTTATAAGTAGTACAGTAAAAACATGAGTATTGGGACTGAAAAAAGGTTTTATGCTTGATTTTACTGTATTTTTTTGTGTGTTGATGGTAGGTTTATCTGTACTTGACACAAAGGTCTGCGAAACTCTAGAACAACCAACCTAGCCACATTGTCAAAGCTGACTTTACACCCTGGACTTTACATGGTACACCCTGGACAGGACACCAGTCCATCGCAGGGCCAGTGCAAGCCAGTCATGCATGGGGACAATTTAGAGGCTACGGTAAAGGCACAGGGGGAGATTTGGCCCAGACACCAGGATAACTCCCCACTCTTTTCAAGAAATGCCCGGGGATCTTTAATGACCACTGAGAGTCAGGACCTTGGTTTAACGTCTTAACCGAAAGACGGCGCCCACTACAGTACCAGTATACCACTATACTGGAGCATCAGGACCCACACAGACCGCAGGGTGGGTGCCCCCAGCAGGTCCCACTAACACCACTTCCAGCAGCAACCATAGCTTCCCAGGAGGTCTCCCATCCAGGTCCTGACCAGGCTCAACCCTGCTGAGCTTCAGTGGGGAGCCAGTTGGGAGCTGCAGGCTCAAATGTCAAAATGTTCACATCAAATTAATTTCATCTGTCATGCAGTTGTTTTTTTAAAGGCTAGTCTAGAAAACTGCATCAGTCTTTGAGCTGCAGAAGAACAAGTGGAGCTGAATTCTATGCTGAAAAGTCTTTCAAATCCTGAGAAAGGACACAGACAGGAAGGTCAGTACAACAGAGGCCAAGAAAGGTTAAACAGAGGATCTCCTAGTGCACTGATGTGTTGCCTGAAACAGTTAACAAGTTTGCTTTCGCCAGTGTATTTGTGTCTGGCCACTTTTCTAAAAGTGCTTTTATATAATGAATTTAAAGCTCTTGCACCTCACAAAAAACAATATGATGCATTATAACATATTATTTAGAAGTTCCTTATTGTTTCAAGTCTATAATCTCAAAGTACTAGTTACTATTTTATCTGTCCCAGTCTTCTTTTTCACATTATAAAAATGTGCTGGTATCACTGAAATGGCTGCTCATGTCACTTCTAGAGATGCAGAGGTGTCTGGTCCTGTACCATGCCTGATTTAACCGTTTTCATGATTCTCTTTGTTTCGTAGGTTTACCAGCTGATGAACTTAATCTGAATAAGCCTTCACGTCTGACATGAGTTTGGTGGTTTGGAATGAAACTGATGGAGGCAATACTTCACTGTGCACAAATATCGATAACGAGCTCAATGCTTATTATGTCCCTGCAGTCTATGGGAGCACTTTTGTGATTGGTGTGGTCCTTAATTCTGTGGCCGTTGTGGTGTACTTGTTTGCTCTGAAAGAGTGGAACAGGAGCAACATTTTCCTGTTCAACTTGCTCCTGGCTGATCTCCTTTACCTGTTCAATCTGCCCTTTTTAGTCTCGTATTACAAAAACAGGGGCATCTGGTACTTTGGAAACTTCTACTGCAAATTAATGAGGTACCTCTTTCACGCCAACTTGTACACCAGTATCCTCTTTCTTGGCTGTGTCAGCATGGACCGATATCTTCTCATTGCACATCCCATAAAATCCGCTCAGATATTCAAGAAGTGGCACGCGGTTCTCATTTGCCTGATAGTGTGGGTCATCGTCACCCTGGAGCTCCTGCCTATGTTTTTCTTAATCACAACTGAAAACCTCACCAACTCCACGGACTTGAAGTGTCTCGACTATGCTAGCTCCGGGAATGTGCATGCCACTTTTATTTTCAGCATGGCGCTAACGTTTACCGGCTTGCTGTTGCCCTTTGGGATCCTGGTGTTCAGCTACATCCTTGTCATACGTGTTCTTAAGGACATGCAGCAGAGATTCCAGAATGCAGATAAGGTGGGCAAACCCTTGACCCTCATCTTGTTCGCCATGGTGCTCTTTTCCATCTCCTTACTTCCTTACCATGTAATGAGAAATGTGCGCATAGGCGCCCGGATGCTCTTCGACCAGAACAGCTGTCCCCTCATCATCTGCAGGTCCCTTTACAACATCACCAGGCCCCTGAGCAGCCTGAATAGCTGCCTGAATCCCGTCTTCTATTTTCTGGTTGGAGACAGCTTCAGGGATAAACTACTGTCCTGGTTCAAGATAAAAACGAACCACAAACAGAACAGCGAATCAACCACTTCAGGCTGAGTGTTTTATTGACACATCATCGACATCTTTTTGACAAGGTGGGGATGGGCCAATAAATATGCACTAAGTGAAATTCCTCTTTTCTAAATGAAAATCCACATCCAGAATAGGGTGTAGTTTTAGTCGCCACGTTATAGAAAAGATATTTCTTGGTCATTTTAGTTCATATGGCTTTACATGGCTCGGAGTGATCAGAGGATCCCATCCACCTGTCTCTTGAAATTAGCCCAGGGCTATTGTCTTCAACAACAGCTTCAGTAGGAAGCTTGCTCAATGCTCAATACTTTGCAGGGAAAAGCACCTCCTCTTCTCCATCTCAAATGCTCTTTCACATACAAGTAGTTTCCAATTGTGTCCTTTGGTTTGACTTTTTACTGGTGATTTTGAAGAAGCCCGCTGGTTTGATTGTCATTGCTTTTGATGATGTTGAACAAATTAGGTCTCCTCGTAGTCTTCTCTGTACGAGACTGTAAAAGGTTAATTTCTTTTAGCCTGTCAGTGTAGGACACATACAGTACTTAACCTTTCCCAGCAGGGAGAAACCAGTTGTATATGCAGTATTTAGACACACGGGGCCAGATCAAGATTGCAGCTGGGTGAAACACTGCCTTATTTTACATGATATTAACCTACACTGGTTGTACAACTGTGACTGCGACATTGTGCTTGAGGTTTGCTTGAAAAATGATCTTTATCTGAATTCCGCTTAGAAACATTAACATGCTGCACATTAGCCTTGGAGATTCCTGAACTGGGGGATTTTTGTGCTTGTTCATGTGTTTGCAGCCTTTGGGGGGAAGAAATAAAAAACGGTTTTGATCCAAGCTTTAAAACAAAGGAGTCCTTCAAAATGTCTTCAATTAAGTACTCGATAGTATTTTTATAGGATATTATTATCTTTATAATTCTGTAGGAAACTTTCACATGTGTATCCTATACTTTAATCTGGTATCGTTTCCTTTATCTGCGTTTATGCAAGTTATTTACATCCTTGTCAGAGAGCAGGAAATTCTGTAACATCCTTTTTACAATGCTCAGCCCTGATAAAACACACTGTTAAAACAAAGCAACTCAGTTTGGCGATGTTTGTTTCCTATAGTAAATAAAGGTTATCCCAATATAAAAATGATTTCCTCAGTTTGTCATAACAAAGCTCAGTGAAAGTAGCAATTACTATGAATGTCTTTCATTAAAACATGAATTTATAGATGATTTTATAGGGCTATGTCAGCACTACTCTTGAATGACCATCAAAGTAACCTCAGAGGCTCTTTCATTTGAGCAGAACAGGTTATGTGGAGCAAACAACTGTTTTACTGGTGACTTTTCAGCTCATCACCGCATACAAACAGCAAAGCAAAATTAAGGAATCTCTTGCATTAATAAAGTGCCTTTCAGCAATGCACTGGGAGAAGAGAGAAAATATATACAATTTTCTGCATCCTCTGAAAAAAACTGGCAATGTGGTCTGGTGCAGTTGATGGTTAGAAACTCCCATTCTTTAGAAATTCCTGTATTTAGAAATGCTGCTTTGTGACTGAAAAACACATTTTGTATGTAGTTTTAATCTGAACAGCTTAAACATTTTTGCTGCTTTCTTCAATCTCTTTTTCCAAGTGTACTGATGAAATGACAAAACATTTGACACTGTTTTCTCACTTCATTTTGTGCTTATTCTCCAGAGAAGCGTTTTGTTATTACAGATTTTTTTTAATCTTTCCTTTCCTTGCTTAGTCTATCAGGAGACTTAATCATAGGATTAATGAGAAACGGTAAAATATGAACCAAAGGATACAAGTGGATAGGATGGGGAAGTGCTTTCTAAAACAGGAGAACTTTACCCAGAGGGTTGTGGGAGCATGGAACAAGCTTCCCAGCTGGACTGTTGAAAATGATAAACCTATAAAATTTCATTCAAACCAAAAAAATCTAATGAATGCAAATGAGAAAACCATTTAAAAATGTTTGTTAACATCTTAGTTATAATGAATGAACATGTCTTTAAGACAAAAAGCAAAGAACTCCACTAATAAATTCAAACTACCTATTTAATGTAATCCACTGTTTACATTTCAAATTGATCAATAAATCCTTGAAAACTTAGATTGCTAATAAAATATTTCATTAACATTTGTTAATATTATTAACATTTAAGTTATTTTTTCTCATAATCCTCTTGCTAACAGCATGTCCACGATACGTTTATAAGTAAAAGTTTTAAAGCAAAGCCATCACAACTTTCTAAGAAGGACACTCAAATAACACAGCAGACATGATTGTTCTAATTATATTTTGAGATGTTTTGTTAAACTTTTTTGAAAAAAAAAGTTCTGAAACAGTTGTGAAAGTCTAAATGATTTAAACATACAATCAGGCCGAAATTCAAAACTGAATTTCTAATGATATATTGTACACGCAACACACAGTTTAGAATTTTACTTATTTTGTAAAGCTTAGGCTTTAATTATAATAATTCTGTTAATAAAACTCTATAAAAGTAATATATTTACATGGTATTTATTTCAATGCTCACATTTTATAAGCAGTTTGTAAGACAATGGCAAATATTCTATCAAACTGGAGATGACTTTTCTCTGGTAAATCAGCCACCTTTCAATAAAAGTGGCGTGTGGGTATGTTTTAATTTGTTTGTGATGTTCATACAGTAAGTCTCAAGTTTTCAAAACAGATTTGAAAACAAATTAAGCAAATGAGAACAGTTACAAATGAGGGGCTGTCTTATGTCATGAAAGAGATACTGTATGTAAATGAGAACAACTGAACAAAAAAATGACCACTAAACTAAAAGTATTCCATTACAGTACCCATCTAATTTTCTTACTACCAGTATTCTTAAGTTTAATATGCACGTCATAAAATGCAAACCATTACCCAATTTATGGAAGGTGAATAAGGTCTTTCACCTACACAAATGTCCGGATTACCACTGCAAAGAAAAGCTTGTACTTTCAGTTCAACAGCGTGTGTGTGCTGGTTCGCTTGCTCACCCCTGTGTGTTTTAAAAGGCAGCTTCCTATATTAATCAACATCATATGTTAATGCTTACGGAAGAAGAGTCAGAACAGCATTAATGGTAAGAAACATTTTCTTTTATACTACTCTTAAAAAAAACAGACTTTAATGAAGAAATGTAATGGCTGTTAAAACATGTCTGTTTTACTGTATATAAAAAGCAGTTACTAAAAAATGCCGAATTACAAGGCTTGAAGTTTGAAAACTGGGAGGCGTTGCAGTGCAAACCAAGGTAATCGGGGAAAGGAGAAGAAAGCTTGGTTTTCTAACACATTGACTCCAATAGCAGTGCAATGGGGTAAACAATTTTTTTAATTGACTGAACTGAAATAGCATTTTCAAACACAAAGGATCACACCCTTTGTATAGAGAAATCCTCTTTAATGCACTAGGGATATTTCTAATGACAGTATAAATAACAATGATCATGAAATCATTAAATTCTCGAAGGTTTGGGGTACACAATTACTCTTCACTGTAACAATCGCTCGTTGTGCTTTTTGCTAACAGGAGGGCAATATCGTCAAGGACTGCTCAAAGCTGGACAGCAGTCTGGAAGTGTACTACCTCACAACAATGTATGCCGCAGAGTTTATTCTTGGATTTCTCGGGAACACAGTGGTCATCTGCGGCTACATCTTCTGCGTCAGGGACTGGAAGAGTTTCAATGTCTACCTCTTCAGCCTGGCGGTCTCTGACTTAGCTTTCCTTTGCACTCTGCCCAGCTTGGTGATCAACTACTCCCAGGGCATAAAGGTGACCGACACGGATTTCTGCTTGAGTAACAGATATCTCCTGCACGTCAATCTTTACTCAAGCATCCTCTTCCACACTTGGATTAGTATAGACAGATACCTGATCTTAAAGCATCCCCTGAGGCAACATATTTTACTGAAGAGAAACACTGCAGTTTTTGTTTCCCTCTGTATCTGGGTGTTCGTCACGCTGCAGCTTCTCCCACTGCTGACCTTCATCGACATGGGTCTGGACGACAACAACCAAACCCATTGCAAAGACTACGCCAGTTCAGGAGATGCATCGAACAGTTTAATATATAGCTTGTTCCTCACCGTCTCTGGGTACATGTTACCAATGGCCTTTCTGTGCTGCTTCTACTACAAGATCGCCCGCTTCCTCAAGGCTAGGAATGGCGTTTTTGAGAACAGCTCTTTCCAGAGGCCCCTGAAACTGATCACCATCACAGGCATCATGTTCTTCGTACTGTACACACCTTACCACATCATGAGGAACGTCCGCATTTCATCGCGAAGGCACTACCAAGGCGATGCGGACTGCACCCTCATCATTATAAACTGCCTTTACATCATCTCAAGACCGATCGCTTTCTCTCACAGTGTTATTAACCCCCTCTTCTATTTTCTCATGGGGGATCACTTCAGAGAGACACTGCTGGGCAAGGTTAGATCCATTATCAACAGAAAATGACCAGATCACAGGGTTGGATTTAACCTGGTTTTGGCTATATCATGTAAATGTGCATTAATTGAAAGACTTCTGTTTCCTTGGATTTATTTTTGTACTACCTATAAAGCTGCAGTCTCCACTGTCTGTCTTCATTTGTTCGTTTAATAAGGGCTTCCTCATGAATGAATTTGTGTATTTCTTAGACACAAACCATCCTTTTTCTGTTCCTTTTGCCATTTTAGTAAGATGTTAAATATCAAAGTTAATAGTGTCTTATCACATGCCTTTTCTGCTTTGCGCCCTTATCTCCTTTTGGTCAGCAATAAATCGTCATTTCCAGCATAAATATTTTATCAGACCTGATCCTCCTTCTAGTTCAGGAGAAGAGAATCAGCAGAACCTCTGGCCAGTTATTTCCCTCTGGCATGAATATTACATTACATATTATATGTAACCAGATACCCCTGTTGGCCTCGAGCAATACTGTGGGGTTAAGGGCGACTTTTTTATATTGACTCTCCTGATGTTTTCTCAGCACTATTTCAGCAGATGGTAACAGCCCATACTGTACATGGAGAATGTTGCTTTCTCTAGATGTCTTTTTCAGGCTGTCAGATCCTATTTCTCTGTGTTCACATTTGCAACTTGCTGAGGTTAAAGCATGAAGTGTTTGGCCTCTGGGTTTTTCCGTCTGTGAAAAGACTGTGCGGGCTTTAGTGCACCAAGGTCAGTAGTGTTTACAGTATAAGGCAGACGCTTCTGCATGAGCTTTTTACAACTTAATCAACTACTGTATATACAATTTAATTATAATATTCATTGTAAGCATTAAGTCCTAAGCTGCTGTAATCTTGTTTTTTTATTTTTTTGCTCCACTTTTTTTTTTTACTTTTTATTTAGCGATGAAAAGATTTACAAACAGGATGCATCCAGAACAGCAAAATAAATGTTTGCCTTCATCTTTCTTTTTTGTTACATTATATTTTACAGACATAAAAAAATAAACTATTTAAATTATGCCAGCAGATATCCAAGGAAATGCCATTTTTTTCATGAGAAACACAAAAAACAACAAAACAGTCCACAGAGAAATATTACTGTACTGTATATTCTCTCATACACTGAAATCTGGTCTCAGTGGGGAGATAAAATTAATCCATGTTTCCTAGTATTTGCTAAGCCTGTAACCTGAGAGAAAAAGTTATATTTTCCATTATATCGATTTCATTCACAGCATTAACCCATTGTTCATGTGTTGGAAATTCTTTTATAAACCATTTTCTTGTGGCTGCTTTTTTACAAGATACTAGAAGAATCCTTAATATATATATCTATCCTTTACTTCACTATGATCAAAGTCAAAATTGACCAGATACATATATGAATATGTGTGAGTGAGTCGCAACTTGCTCTCCACATAATTTCCCAGAAGGGAAATCTGAATCCAAAACTATCCACCTTTTATTATCTTAAACCAAGTTTTAACTGGTAAAGTTATCCAGGGTATAGCCATTTTATATGTAGTTTCTGCCAATGATCTATTTCCCAGGACCATCTGTTTTGGAAATTCGCCTATAATCAAAGACTCCACCTCCTTCCATTCTGCAGTATAATATCTATCACACCAGCAGATTAGTGTTCTAAGATGAGCTGCTTGGCAGTATGGCTTTAGGCAAGGCAGGGATAAACCACCTTTGTCCTTGGTCAGCTGTAGCGTTTCTAATTTAATTCTCGCGGCTTCCTTCCATTCCAAATGAATCTTGAAATCATTTTATCCCCTTCATTAAACTGTTCTGATGAGATTTACTCTGGAAGAGACTGAAAAAGATATAGCAATCGTGGTAGAATATTCATTTTAATAACTTCTACTCTAGATCCCAGTGAAAGAGCCAGCAAACTCCAGCCAGCCAGGTCATCTTTTATTTGACATATTAAAGGGCTGACATTTAAATTAAATCATTTTGATCAATCTTTTGTTAAACTTACTGCCAAATATGTAATAGACGGTGATAACCATGTTAACTTAAATTTGTCTTTTACTTGATCTGTAGGATTATAAGATAAAACATCTGTTTTTTCTCTCTTTAATTTGTACCCTGATACCTGACCGAAGTTTTCCAAAAGATCCATCACTCTGATAAACGATTCATTGGGGTCATCCAAATATACAGTAGCAGGACATCGTCTGTATACAATGCGATTTTATGTTCTCGCCCTTTGATTTCTATCCCTTTAATTCTTGTCTTATCCATTCTGCTAAAGGTTTTATATGCAGAGAAAACAGAAGAGGTGACAGGGGACCTCTTTTCAAATTGATTCGCTTTTTTAAGGTTTTTTTTTCCATTGCATTTATTTTCATGCCCTCCATTGCACTACAAACCTCAAATTAGGAGTGAACAACTAGAAGACTAGCGAAAACCTGTCGCCTATGTTTTGTTAAAACTAAGGACTTGTTTGAGAAGAGAGTACGCCTGTTTCCAGAAAAAAGGAATAAGAACCCGGAACCCTGGTTTGCCGAATCATTTTGTGCAAGTAAATTTCCTTATTTCATGCCTGTGGGTCAATATGTCACAGGAATTCAGGGGACTGTTGCCAAAATATATTTAAGAGGAACTGTGGAAATACTTTGTAAAGTAAAATCTGGACAGGACTCTGTTTACTCATTTTCCCCAGAATGAATATCTGTGAAGTGACACAATGTTGTGCAGAAAAGATTTCCGCTGCAGAAGACTACAGCTGGCTACAGGAGGCTCTTCACAAACTGCAGCCTATAATTAAAAAATTAATGCCTTCTACTTCTCGCCGACGTTCACTTAAATACGACCTTACTGCTCCGTGTAACACTCTGGGTAAAGTTTGTAAAACTTAATTGCCTGTGTGTTTGGAATCACTTGGTGTAACAAACCATAGAATATGGTTTTGTGTGTAGAGTCTGTTTCATATAGTCTATTGCAGAAGCATATTTAATGTTCCCCCGTATGCACAGGAAGCAATGGATAATACACAATTTACTTACACTACGCAGTAAAAACACAATAGCAACAAATATAGGAAAGTGTGAGGCAGATTAAAATATTTTGTTAAACATTATCCTTCAGCTGAGTTTACACTGTATTGCACTAATGTTTTAAATTCTCAAACTAGAAGTCTGTCTCAATTCAATGTGACTCTCAAACTAGTACTGTAACTTGCTTAGTGACTGCAGGGTGCACATCACTGCTTTGGATCTGTCTGTGCCTCGTTGTCAGAATTTTACCTTATTGTACCTGCCTGCTTCTTCTGGGTTCTTCCTCTGAATGGAAAGTTTCTATCGTGTATGTCGTCCTGGAAGTAACAAGACTACTGCAATTTCTGAAACATATCAATGACAGAGTTGCTTTCAGCAGTGAGAGTGAAGAACTCATTTTACCCTAATTTTAAAAATACAAACTCAGATTGCATGTTACTTGTATTCCATTTCACTTATAAAGACTGTTGATTGCAGGCTTTACCTAATTATTAGTGATAGGCCTACAGCCAGTTGATTAGCCTAAATATGTGTTTTTACAGTTTCTAAACCAATGTCCTCCACAACAGACCAGGCTTAGAACTGCCATACATCTGTCTAACACACCCATAAAACTTTCAGCAGCACAGATGTACCATAAATGACCTAAGTTAGTACTTAGTTTTTCAAACTGATTAAGATTGCATCAAAGAAATGTAAAGCTATCCTTAGCTGAACATACCAACATCTGAATCACAGCTGTTATTAAGGATTAGATAATTCAATCACTGTTTCAGGCTTATACAAACAATTACTGCTCCTTATCTAAGGCTACAATGTCCCCAAAGTAGCAATGTTAATTTCAGGCTCCACAAAAACACATCCATCAGCTTCCCCCATTTCAAACATTTCTAAAATACTATCAGGAATATTTGCTATAACTATATAACTATAACTCAACACTGGTAATAAACAATATGGTTTATTTTTGTAAGGTCTCTTAGCTTCAGGCTGCTACTGTATGTTTCCTGGTCTCTTCTTCATCTGTCACCTTAGGTCTCTCAGTCAGAGCCTGATTTTATGGGTGAATATTTTCTTTCTCTTCTAAACCCTAAAACCAGAAATGAACTGTCATTTTAGTAAGGAGACAAGCCTTTGTTGGATACTTCTTGGAAGCATGAGCAAAGATGTAACAATATTCTTATCTTTTAGTATTTTTTTGTGCAGTTTGATAAGTAGCATTTGTGCAATACCAAAAAGCTTTTTTGTAATTGGCTACAGTGAATGATTTAGGAAATCTACGTAGAATGATAAAACAATCTTAAAATGTTTTTGTAAAGTGAGAAGAAAAACAGCTTACAGTACTTACACTCCTTGTATATCACGTTTAGCTCTTTTTGCCATTAAGTGACTCCCAAAAAGGTAAGTCGGAACATTTCTTCTTTCCTCATACAATTTCCAAGGTCACAATCCAGTTATAAATGCAATGAGAATTTTGTAACAGAAGATTGCTGTTGATTTTACTTATTTTTTCATTGTGATGTACTGCCGATGTCTGTAAATGAAATCATTGATTTTTATTTTTAGTGAGGTTTTCTCTAAGCAACGTTCAGAACAATCCCCAAGTACAGTAACTCCAAAATTAACTACAATTTTTTTCTAGGTGGACCTTTAATTTGTACCTTCTCTTACTGCTGTGATTAAGTGGTATTATACAAGAGTTCAGAAAAATTCTGGAGACCCAATACCTGCCGATCCTTACTTCTCTATAAATATGGGCTTCTAAACAATTTTCTCAGTGTTTGTTACCTTTCACAGCTCCGCTGCCGATACAGCAACCCTTTGGATTCTCCAAAAACAGGTTAAAGACAAACATTAAGGAGTCTTGTCTTTACTACCATGTCATGAGTAGGGTTTGTCGATATCTTCTGAACTCCTATTTTGCATTGATGAAATTACAATATTGCATGTGCAGTCAACCCTATATCTTTGGAAAGCTCCTTCATTACAGAAAATCACAGAATTTATCATATTTGGTGCTTACATTTAGGTTGAAAAAAAACAGGTCTTAAGCAACTGGTTGAAATAGCTTTTTTTAGTTAAATGGGTTATAAAATAGAATCTGTTATGTGTAATAATTCCTTTTTCACTTTCACTCTTACTCACACACTCTTGTGTTGTATGAATCCAACATTGGTTAAGGTCAGGCAGTGGAAAATATCTTGTGCTGTTACATGAAACTGTAAGCGAGTTCCTCATCTTTCCAAGAAAACAAAATGCACTGAAACACTGTTGAAATTGAAATTTAAAAATGGAAGAGAACAATTACACATGAAAGAATAAGCTTGCTTTTTTTTCAGGCCTGGTCAACCACAAACCCTTCAGTTTTTTTACATTTACTGTATGTAGAAATATAGTCTCTTTGAGGTTGCAAACATTCAAACGTTAAAGCTGTTCTTTCAAAATCCTTGAATTATGAAGATCTCCTCCAATGATTTGGAAAATCATTGCAAGGATCCCAAGAGACCGTATGTACAGTAGGGATTTAAAATAATCCGAGTACCAACCACTCTCCCCGAACTTGGATACAGTAAGGTTTGTGTCTGACTGGTGTTGACTGGTGCCACGATTGTAATGTTGAAATAAGTGAATACCCTACTTACTTTCTCTGTGTTAACTATCACCGTCTTTTAGAAACCTTGTCTATCCAGATGTACTGTATACAGAGATGTCAGGCACAATGCATCTTCACAAAGACAGGGGAAATAACCGCATCCAGAGGAACTTTTTTTTCCCTCCCCTTTACCGAAGTGACAAGACTCTTCCACACCGCCTCCCTCGGAATAGTGACGCTGTATGGAAAACGGTTTTTCCACCGATTCAACGAGGCCACTACTCGCCTCCACACCGCCGGTCAACAGCAATCATTGCGCAAGGGTCAGGACATACTGTATCGGGACAGTTTTAACAGTTTTCATAAGCCATACTGTAACTGTATGTATGACATAATTAGAGGCATTTCCCCTGAAGCAATCATGTACTGTAGCAACGACATGCCTTCCTTTTCCAGGGGAGTTATTAACCCCCTGTGAATGCAACTGAGAGTGAACTGTGCACGCAAGTAGACTGAACCTGACTGAAAGAGCAATGCTCACATTTCTGTTGCTGTTGTACTGTATATGTGCTGGTTTCTGAGAAATGCTCAATGCAAAATATGAAATTACTAAAATTACGTCAGCAAAATCTCACCTACTTTCGGGTACTTTAAGAATTATGGTGGGACACAATTATGTGACCGAGCTTACTGTTTTGTGATGCTGTTTCCACGAGAAGCATAAAACGTTGCAACTCCCGAGCGGTGTTACAGAACGTTTTTTTAAGAACTTGGTTAATGAGACACTACACGACGCGACAGGTCCTCGTTGCACTGTGCACAGAACTGAGAGTACGCGCAACACCGCCCTCTAGTGTTCAAACAAAATACAAAACCGGCTCAGAGGCCGGCTATTCTCATACTGTCAGGTTTTCCAACGCCTAAAAAAACTCTTATTTGCCACCCTACACACAAGAAGCTAAAGCGCAAGACGAGTGCATTGGTTTAATTAAAAAAAAACATCGTCTACTATTGTCTACGTTGCTGGAAGTGTCTTCCAGCGATAGCCAGAAACGTAAGGGTTTTAATCCTAAATAAACCTTCATAAACCCAGTGTTTGAAATTAGAAAGTATCCCATTTGTAACTCTCAGAATAATGTGGGTGAGTGCTACGCCGGATTGTCCTTCAAACGAGAATACAGACATTCACAAGCATTAACCGGATACAAGGGAACTCCAGGCATATTATTTTTGTGAATCTTGTTGAATCTATTTTGTGAAGTGAATCTTGAATAACAGCAGTTGACCATAAACCCGATAAGAAATGTCAGCTGGGAATGATATATGTCTAGTCTCATTCGTAAATGGACAGAAAAACCTGATAACCTCGCAACACAGGAAATGTTCATTACAGCGGAGACAATGTTTTCCAAGAGGAAATATAAATGTTTAAAACTGGCTGTATTTAAAAAAATAATAATTATATATTTTAAATTGCCTTTAAAATGTATTTCTTAAAATTGTATATTTAAATTCAAATGGCTGTATTTGTAAAGGGTGGAAACTCCCTGGAAACTCGGACTTAATGCTGTATATTCAATTTTACAGTGAAACAACCTGACAACGGCTTTACATTAAAAATGTAGACTTCGGGGAAATAACTCCTGTTCCGTCGGGCCCGTTTTTGGTTACCTGGCCGCTCAGTTATTTTTCCTAACCCGACATCTAAAATGCGATTATACTGTAGCTTGCACCGGTTTTGCGGAGAAGACAAACTAGTGTCTCCTGAAACCTTTGCAATTAAACCAAAATGTAGCAATAGCGCATTGCTGGTACTGGTGGACATTCCCCAAAGGGTACTGTACAGTATGTCGCAATTCTAATTTGAATGAAAATGTCGGTACACGGGTATGATTGTTAATAGTAGATCACGGTTTTTTCACTTTCGAGATACTGGTTATTTGCATTTGTGGCGCCGCTACAGTGTTTGTTCTCGTCTGTTTGTCTTCGTTCGTATCATTGGGGGCTGGGATGAGAGCGGTAATTCAATTCTTTTCAAAAGCTACCAAATGTTTTCAAAACTTAATGAGGACGGACAGCTTTTTCCATTACATTTCACATGCTGTAAAAGCTGGAAATGAAAAATACCTTTTCAATGCGTTGAAAGCGGGTCAGACATGAAGCCGTCTAGTAAATTTTGACAGATACTACACACCGAAAACGTTTCTAGTTTTTTAATGTTATTTTATGTTTTTTATAGTTTCCCTTAAATCATTGGGAAACCGTCACCACATTTCACAATAGCCGTTATTGGGAATTATACACTGTGTGCATCATCCCTTAAGAATATACACACACAAGCCACATTCAAGGTTAACCATACAATCAACGATAATGTGAACATTTCCAAAACAACCATCTGTGACCTTTTTTCTATTGTGGAAGAAAACCAAGACACAATTGCTTGTTTTATTAAGACAATTGAAATGCAAATGAAAGCAACTAAATTCTTTGGGGAATTTAAAAAAATATTTATTTTGCAAACAAAGCAAAACGAACTCCAGAGAAGGGTCTAGACATCACTTACTGCTATGGTACAATGTAGGGGTTTTCGCTATCAAATTGGAAATTGTCAATAACCCATGAAACACCTTCACACACATCTACTGAATGTGTACATATTAAAAAAATCAAATGCCAAATTGTTTAGGGAAGCAAAAGTGAAATTAAAATACTGTTTTTTCCTATAGCCTTGTAAACAAATGAGCAGGCAAGATTACAGAGCAGGTTTGCCCTCGATGGGGTTCGTGTAGCTGTGTCTTCACAGTTCAAATGGCCTTTTCACTGCAGTTTGCTGCTTCAGTCACTACAGAGGACAAAGATTGTCAAATGACTGCGATCAGGCATCAGGCGAGACCACCCAGCTCTTTCTTGAATGAAGACAGGGCACCAGCTTCAACAACAACATAATAATAATAATTGCTTACACTTATATAGCGCTTTTCTGGACACTCCACTCAAAGCGCTTTACCCTTTGGGGGATCCCCTCCACCCCCACCAGTGTGCAGCATCCACCTGAATGATGTGATGGCAGCCATAGTGCACCAGAACACTCCCCACACACCAGCTCTCAGTGGGGAGAAGAGCAGAGTGATGAAGCCAATTCATAGATGGGGATTATTAGGAGGCCATGATTGGTAAGGGCCAATGGGAAATTTGGCCAGGACGCCAGGGTTACACCCCTACTCTTTTCAAGAAACGCCCTGGGATTTTTAATGACCACAGAGAGTCAGGACCTTGGTCTCATCCGAAGGGCGGCGCCTGTTTACAGTATAGTGTCCCCGTCACTATACTGGGGCATTAGGACCCACATGGACTGCAGGTTGAGTGCCCCCTGCTGGCCCCACTAACACCTCTTCCAGCAGCAACCTTAGTTTTTCCCAGGAGTCTCCCCTCCAGGTACTGACAAGGCTCACACCTGCTGAGCTTCAGTGGGCTGCCAGTTGTGAGTTGCAGAGTGATGTAGCTGCTGGCTACATGACTGACTAGCTTGTTCCACACTCCCACAACCCTTTGGGTCCAGAAGTGTCTCCTGTTCTCAGTTTTAAATGCACTGCTCTGTAGTTTCCACTTGTGTCACATCGTTTGTGTTTCACTGCTGATAATAGAAAAAAATCATTGACTTGCCTTTGTATTTGAATTTGTCTTGGGTGCCCTACAAGAAGTCTTCAAAAGTTTCATCTGTCAAGACTTAAAAGGTGCAGATCTTTTAGCTTGTTAGCACAGAACATTCCCTTAGGCTTCAGAATATTCCTGGTTACTCTTTGGATTTGTTCTACAGTATCTACATGTTTTTCATAATTAGCAAATATGAGCTTGTTTCCTGTCCTACAGTTGTAGTTTAAGCTCTTTTAACACTTTTGCCACCTGCCAGGTGCATCCCCAGTCTTAAATTTTGCTTGTTGCTTTCATGGTGTTTGTTAATAACTCCTATTTTAGTATCATACAGTATGTGAGTGTGACTTGTTTACTGACTGAAATGGAATTTAGATCATCGCTATACCTTACTAAGAGCAGTGGTTCTAATCCAGACCCATGTGGTCCTCCACTACCTACGTAACCCCAATTTGAGCATTCACTCCTTATGAATGTTGAGTATGAATGAACTCCTTATGTTATTTCCTACCAACTAAGCAGTTCTTACTCAAATAATGCATTTCCTCTGAGGATAATAATCTATTGTATCTACATTCGTTTGTGGTTAGTGAAATAATTATATGACACTTATGCCGCTGTTTATTTAACTTTCTTTCAGAAGGAAAAAAAAGGGGAAACATGGAATATAAAGGTAACGAAACATCTGCAGAAAATACTTCTTTCCTGCCCAACGTCAACATGATCAAGTGCACCTTCAGGGACAAGAACAAGTACACGGTGTATTCCGTCGTGTATGGCATGGTGTTCGCCATTGGCTTGGTGACCAATACTGCAGCCCTTTACATATTCTGTCGCTTGGCTAAAAAGAAGCGCGTTTCCACGGCGTTTCTGATGAACCTGGCCATCGCCGACCTCATTTTCATCCTCACCTTGCCCTTTCGGATTTTCAGCTACCAGACGGAGACCAGCTGGCCCTTCCTGGACGTGGCCTGCAGGGTTTCCACCTACCTCTTCTACATGAGCATGTACTGCAGCATCTTCTTCCTCGCCAGCCTCGGCGTCTGCCGCTATCTTGTGATGGCCGGGCGCGTGAAGTTCCAGAACGAGCTGCTGTACCGGTGGGCTCTGGCTCTGTGCTTTGCCGTGTGGATATTCATCGCTGCGGGCGTGATCATCTACGCGTCCTTCTCCAACGGCTTTCGGATAGAGGCGGGAAAATGCTTCGAGCCGGCAGAACCTTCCTCGTGGGAGCTCCTGTACTACATGAATTTCTATGCCCTCGTCATCGGATTTGTGATCCCCTTTGTCATTCTTCTCATTTGCTACGCCCTAATGATAAAGCACATAGCGCAGACCAAGACACAGAAGAGACGCAGAGACGTGGCCATGATCTGTCTGGTTTTAACTGTGTTTTGCATCTGTTTCCTGCCATATCATGTCCAACGGACATTGCATCTGTACTATGTAGTCTATCATCATGATAACTGTGAACTTCTCATCACCTTACAGAAAACAGTTGTTGCCACCCTGTGCTTTGCAGTTGCCAACAGTTGTATGGATCCCCTGCTCTTTGTTTTTGTGGGACAAGGGTTCCTACCCATGCTGAAAACTCTTTTGAGAAGTTGCTGCTTGGGCTTCTCAAATGGCACCCCTATCAGCACATCAGCAGCCACTGATAATCCCGAAAATGTGATCACCGTGGCCACAACTGAAATCTAGCTCATCCTTTCACCTTGCACTTGCAAGTTTGTTGGAATGAGAGACCCATCTCTAAAATGTTCTGGTGCTTCCAGAAATCCCCTCGACTTGTGGCTTCCCTGCAGCACGAATGCAAAAATTAAACAACTGTGCTGCCATCAGCTGTTTATAATGCATTTTATTTCCATAAAGCTTAGGCGCAGCTAGAGCCAACTGCACAAACATACAGTATTCAAATTGTCTGCGTTCTTTAAACACTGAAGCCCTTTCGCAAAACATTCCATATTTTCTTACGAGCTTTGTTTTTAATATTGGAAATGCTCCATGCTCATAGTTATAAATTCCTATTACTTATCTCTTTTCACTGTAAGCTTTCAATGCAGCGATTTTAATAAAGATAAGATTTAATGTAGTGTTTTGTTTTTCAGAAGTACTGCTTGCATGTGAGGCAGGTTGTCTTTTCTGCATATTAGGCAGATTCAATAAATACAGCTCTAATTGAAAGCATTCCTAAATTCCTAAGTATTGAGCTAATGTTTTGGTGATGTTAAAAGAGTATCTTCAGGCAACAGTGGATGAACTGGGAGATACACATTATTGTTCAGGACCTGTGAACAACCAATGTATTTATTAAGCATAGTTCAGTTGCTCCATAACCAAACACCAACCACAAACAGTGCAAAGGATATTTGCTAATATTTAAAAAAGTATTTTGTAAAACATTTTCATGACACAATTTGTTGACCTCTTGGTGGGTTGTTTCACTGAATCAACCTTTTCTCACAAGTATACTCTTTCATCTAATCCTGCCCATTTACAGGAGTGCTTTGGTTTCTCTCCCAATAGTAAGAAAACAAAACTCCTTAAGAAAGTTTGGATCCTTTTCATGAGATCGCATGTCACTCAACAATATTCCAGTAAAACAAAAAAAAAATGAAGTGGTTGGAAAAGACTCAAGACTGCTCAGTTCAAGTGCCATAAAGATAATACTTTAAGATTTATTGATTACATTCTAAGCCTTCCAATGGATTGCCTTTAAATGACTATGGCCAGTTTCACTGAAAATCTGTCTTAAGAAGGAGCTTCGCTGTGAAAAGAAATTAAATGTTGTCCTTTTGTAAATATTAAGGTAATTCAGGTTTTCCTACATACTGTTCTCTGAAGAAATGTCAGACTATTTTGATTTCTAATGAACTGTAGATACTTCAGCCCTACAGCTAAATAATGCCTGTAGTGTACACAGACAAATACTACAAAGTCCTTTGTACTTTGTACCTAATACTACAATATAAGTGTATTTTGTACTGCTGTTAGGATTTTCTGAGTAATTTTTTTCCCCTTATCTTATCTTAGTATCTCATAATCACATGCCAGGAAAGAGTTTCTTCGGGAGTGACTGTGGTAATGCACCTTTCACCGTTTTTGGTTCAGGAGTCTTGATTTAATATTGCCACGACCTTTATCACCTTCAGAAGGAAACACAACAATATAATTCTCCATACAGTGGTGCTAGAACGTTTGTGAACCCTTCAGAATGTTCTGACTTTCTGCATAAATTTGACCTAAAATGTGATCAGATCTTCACCTAAGTCATAGAAAAAGATCAGGAGAACCCAATAAAACAAATAACACACAAAAGGATATACTTTTTCTTTCATTTATTGATCAAAATGATCCAACATTTAATGTCTTTGTTGGAAAAAGTATGTGAACTTCTAGGATTATCAGTTCAGTTAAAGGGATAATTAGAGTCAGGAGTGTCGTGTTTGGCGAAAACCAAACACTGCATTCCAACATAAGAACTTCATCCCGGTTGTGAACGCGGTGGTTGGCAGTATCAGGGTTTGGGGCTGTTTTGCTGCCACAGCACCAGGACGGCTAGCCATCACTGACAGAACTATGAATTCTGGATTGAACCAGCAGATTCTACAGGAGAATGGCAGGGTATCCGCCCGTGATCTGAAGCTCAACAGAAGGCGGGTCTTGCAGCAAGACAGCGACCCTGAACACGCAAGTCCATCAAAGAATGGTTGAAGCAGAAGAAATTTCACGTTCTGGGATGGCCAAGTCAAAGTCCCGACCTTGATCCAACAGAAATGTTGTGGCAGGACCTGAAGCGGGGAGTTCATGCAAGAAACGCCCATCAACATCACTGAGGTGAAGCAGTTCTGTAAGGAGGAATGGGCTAAAATTCCCCAAGCCGATGTGTGGGACTGATTTTATTGGGTTCTCTTGATCTATTTTTATGACTTAGGTGAAGATCTGATCACATTTTAGGTCAAATTTATGCAGAAAGTCAGAAAATTCTAAAGGGTTCACAAACTTTCTAGCACCACTGTACTGTATATATTTAATGCATATTACCACACAGAAAATAGATAATTTTAAAAATCCCCAAACATTCTAAAGCTCTGAAATCCTCAGTTCTTTTGGATTTGCATTAAAATCTGCTGATATGTTCCTGTCGTTCCTTTAGCAAACAGTCTGTTTTAATGTTAAAAAGCATTTTGTAAAGCTGTAAGGATTTTCCGAGTCGTCTTTTCTCTTCCCTCGTATTTTATAACCAGATGTGAGGAAGATGAGCATAAACCACTGGGCGGTATTACATCTTCCACCACACCTATTACATCACATGTGTTTAAGTTTTGGCCATGGGATCTTCTTTGGTCTATTTTTCGAAACAAAGCCTTCTTCCTTCCGAGTACTGTTAGTACTTCTACTAACTGATGCAGATCTTCGTCCCTATCAGCAGCAGGGAGAAGCTTGTTGCTGGTCTCACAGCTGAAGCAGTGGTGCCGTGTTGGGGGGTCTCTGTTTTCCTGCTCCTGGCTTCACTGGGGGTCCTGTGTCAATGGGGAGCTGGGCAGTGGAGGCTTGGGGTGCCATGCTGACACAGTCGATTCTTCGTGCCCAGTGCCCCCCGGCCTAGCTGTTTGTGGAACAGGGCTCAGTGCGCCGAACTTGGGAGAGGGGTGACATCACCCCCCTCTGAGAGCTCGACTGTGTGGAGCTCTGCCACAGCAGGAGATCTGGTCTTTCGGCACAGCCGGGTTTTCCTCTGTCCGGGGGGGCGCTGCGCATGTCTGGAGCCCACGAGCAGGATCCAATCCCAGCAGGGGCAGGGAGAGCGCCACTAGACACATTCTGCTTCTTGTTCAGGGGTCCTTTCGGGTGAAGACCTGGGGGTGGCCCCAGCATTTGCAGGGAGGGGGAGTGGGGCTGGAATGCGGTGTTATGCCCTACGTGCCCTGCTTTGAAATACTCAAAACTAGTAATAACTGGATCACAAACAACTGATGCATTATTCTAACACAAACACGTCGCTTGAGCTGCGGCACTTGTCTGTGGCAGGAGGAAGCCCTGAGCTGCCAGACATCTGGTCTGCTGTTTCTCAGAGTATGACTGAGCCAACAGGCCGCAGAGGGCGCGAGGTGAGCTGACCACACAGAACGAGTGAAGTTTTACCAGGCGTTTCTGGGGTCCACGGCCGACTGTGCTACTTTGAGAGACCTCAGCACTCCCATATGCTATAACATTAACAATAAGTGTGGTCAGATTGGTCACCTTTCATCACAACAATGACCTCTGCACAAGTGTTATTTTATGCTGAGGAAGAGTTGTTCAGTCTTTATCAAGAGTGTCCAGTACTGGTCCTTGAGGTCAGGTGTGTCTGTGGGTTTTCTGGTCCTCATTAAAGCAGCACCACATGAAGAGCTGAGAGAAGCTGGCAAATCGTTTCAGTTAAGACAGTAACCAGCTAATTTAACCCATTAAGATCTCAGATGCATTGAAAACCTGCAGACACACTGACTCTGGGCGCAGGGTTTGGACAGCCCTGGTCTGGGTACACTGTGTAAACAGAGGAACCGGAGGACCAGCCCTTCTCTTGTACGGCTCACTGCAGAGAGGAAGGATTTAAAGTGCACATCCCCTGATTAACAATAATCTTTTTTATTGAGACATGTGTACCAATCTTACCTTTGAAGAGCTAGTGAGAGAGCTATGCCAAGCTAGCACACCACAGGCAACATTTAATAAAACAAACATAGAGGACAGATTTATCAACTCAAATATAAATCGGTTCTATTTTACAGTTCAAACAATAGAAGGAAGTTTTTTTTTAAAAAAATCAAACAACAAAGCTTTTATTTTGATGAGTCCTGTGTTAAATTTCAGCAAAATAATTCACAGCACAAAAATGTACATTTAAGCTATGGTGATTTCTTTTCAGATAATGAAATGAACATGGATCGCTTAATTTTTCATTTTTAAATAATGCTAATACTCTGCAACCTCCTCGCTTCAAAGAGCAGAAATGATCACGGCCATTAGACATGCACAGAGAGAAACAAGCAAAAGCAAAAAGGTAGGATTGGTGTAATAGTACAAAACAAGATCTCAGCAGTGCTCTTATGAAATATATAAAATAATTACAAAAATAACAATAACCCTTTCAAGCATGAATTATAGCAAACAGTTTTAAAAGAAATAAACTTTTGAAACACATTAGGCTACTTAAAGTGTGTTTTTTTGAGAGAAAAATACCATGTAAAGTCACCCAGCTGTAAGCATAAAACATATTGAGCAAATAATGAAATAACAGCATGAGCGGCGCTCTTTTACAATCTCCCTGTAGGGAGATTCACCCCAGATCATGCCATCAGTAGCAAAGGGCATGTGCAGACGAGGTCATCAGAGCTGTGCCTTTCCTGTCTGAGGAACAGACGGGGTCGTCATGCATGAAAGGGTTAATGTACAGTAGCTCAGGCCATGAAGGAAGCAGAAACACAAGACTACAGAAGCCCAACCACCAGGAAGCCCTAAGGCCTGCTGCAGCTCATAGGTTTTCGTCTAGCCACCTGATGTAATTATTTAGCATCCTGTGAGCAATTTTGAAATCCGTGGGCCACACGCTGAACATCATGGCGCCATGAAAGCCGCCCTTGTAGTGTTCGTGCCTCACCTGGACGCCGGCGTCCCTCAGTCTCGTGGCGTACATGATGCCGTCGTCCCTCAGCACGTCGTACTCGCAGGTCAGGATGTACGCCCTGGGCAGCGCCCTCAGCTGGGCGTCGGCCGCCAGCAGGGGCGAGGCCCGCGGGTCCGCGAGGGCCGCCATGCTGCGCGACGGGTCGGCGCTCAGCGCGGTGTAGTTGTACTTGCGGCGAAACGGCTCGGGCAGGAGCGCGCTCCAGTTCACACACCTCAGCAGGTGAGAGGACTCCAGGCTGTTGTGACTGTTGGCCATCATGGAGCGAAACAGGGACTTGTCGCTGGTGAAGTATTCGCTCCAGAACCTGACCATCAGGGTCTTGGGGAGAATGGGCATGTGCTCGTTCTGCTGGTAGGAGGGCGTATTCAGGTCCAGTGCCTGAAGAACAGGATACAGCAGCGCCTGAGCCTTGAGCTCGGCCTGGACGTCTTTATCTAGCTGAAGCTGAAACAAAACACAGACTTAGAAGCAGCGGCACAGCACCTGGAGGTCCAAGGGAGACGAAGGATTCTTGCTGGGGGGCTGTGCTGTCTAGTACACTCTGTGAGTGCTGGCCTGTTTCTGTTCCATGTTCAAGATACTGTTAAAAAAGGGGCTTCAGGGGTTCGGGTAGGGAGCTGATGCGATCTAGACTCATCAAAACCTTTGAAGTTATCACAAGCAAAATGCATTCTTTCATTGGTGAGTCCTTTGGGGTTTTCAACATGTTTTCAAGGAAAAATGCCAAGAGGAAGAATAATACAGTTTCATTACCTGTTGTGCTACAGCAGCAGCCAAATTCCCCCCTGCGCTGTCTCCCGACACAGCTATGCGGTTTATATCCACCGAGTACCGGCTCACTGTGTCCTCTGTTAAGAAATACTTTACCGCGCGATACACATCCTCAAACGGTACTGGGAAGTGGTGAGCTGGAGCTAGTCTGTATCTGTAATGAAAGGAAAAGCATGTAAATATCTAATGAATTAGACCAACAGGCTGGAACCTATTTATGGGATTCTGTATTCAACAGGATATTTTGTGTTTTATGGAATGCAAGATTCACTGCAGGTGGTTTTTGGAAAACATGTTTTGAAACTCTGCGCCAATCCCATGAAAGCCCAGGCTACACTGCAGAGAAATTACTTCTAAAGCAATCTGCCACATGGTATCTGGGTGACATGAAACAACGAGTGTATGTTTACTCTATGATTTCCTAATAGACCAGTGAATCAAAGAAAAGGAAAAACAACACTGTCCTTTGCTGGTGATGGAAACTCTGCAAGATACACTACTGTAAAAGCATTACTTGCAATCTGAAAGATCCCTGAATATGCAGGATCATCTGTCACAACACAAAACATGAGCCTTACTCTACTGAAACAACAACAGCATTGAGTTCGCTGGCAATTCTTCTCGAAAGCAGGTCGTATGGTGCCATTCCTGTGGGAAAAGGGCATGTAAGAAAATCTGGAAAACAATGCGTGACGCAATTCCTCATGCACTTCTCGTTTAAAGATGCCTGTTTCTAAATCTGGTTGCGCCTGTGTCTTATCCTGGATCAGAGTGACTGCTCATTATTCTGCAGAAGAGCTGGGACGCTCCAGTGCTTTTATTGAGACTTTCATTCCAGTCCCGATGATTACCTGTTTGAACTGGTAGTTCACCCATCCTTCAATTTATGTACACCCATTTTCCAAATCCTCACTCTAACGAAGCATGCATTTTCATACCTGTTTTTCTCAGTTATTAAGAGATTTTCACTGCAATGTACAGTAGACCTTCTTGGCCGAAGGAAGAAGCCATCCTCATAACAATACCTCTCTGTACAGCCTCCTACAACACCATTCCCTAGTTTTAGGCCATAATCAGATATTGGTACGACCTGTAGGACTCTCAACAGCTGCAGTTACCCAGCCCTGATTCTCAGCTGCAATGGGCAGAGTGATAGCAAACTCCCCCCAGCTTGGATACCTTAGGCTCTTCTAACAACACGGGCAAAGATTAAAACAACAGTTGTGATTCTCACACTGAAGGTTTCATGCAAACATGAACACAGCCGTTTCATCTGTTGATTCAACCTGTGGTCTTCATTTGTAACCTGATCTAATTATTGACACATCTGGAAAAAATAAACATCTTTCGTAGGCTTTTGAAGATAAGATTGATTGGAAGAAAAGTCCGGGCTCTGGCACTAAAGAAGTGGCCTTGTACAGTAACGTCAGAAAGGTGTTTTAAGGAGTGCTGAGACTAAAGTCATAAGAAAAGCTGATGAGTGCAATGGAAAACCTGCCTCACTGCAGGTGGCTTCTGGTATTCCTTCATCCCTAGGGCTCAGTTATTGAACTGCACCAGTTCAAGAATTAAACCGGGGAATTCAAGCACGGGACTACAGCTTTCCAGGGCTTTCTGGGCTGCCCAGGTCTGTTTTAGGACAATTTCTTTTTATTATTTTATTTTATTCTACTCTCACTGCCATGGCAAATCTCGATCAATCTGAGCTCTATGGATAAATCGTCCCCACTTGCCCCTGCAGCCCGGTGCCTGTGTAACAGTGTATTAGAATTGCGCGCAGGGGGGTGGGGGGGGTTGGGGGATACTGACTGGCACTGCCTAGACACCAGCCTCCCCCGTGCAGGTAGATGACGGCCCTCCTGGGCGCGCCGGCGCTCTCCCGCCGCGGCTCGTACACCAAGACCTCCACCCCGTCGAACAGCGCCTCCGCCACCGTCGTGTCGCGGTCCGCGGCCGGGGTCACCCGCTCCGCCAGGGTGATGAGCATCATCACGTCCATGTAGTCCTTCAGGCCCACGAGCTCCAGGGCGTCCGCCTGCGGCACACAGCAAGGGAGGAGCAAGACGAGGGCAGCGCACTCGGAGGAGTCACGCCAGCCTGTAGCAACCCCCGCCCCCCCCGAGGAATCACTCTCCTTCCACTGCCTCAGCGGTAAAAGACAACCGTCTGCTACTGTAGTGTGTCATGGCCCTGCTCGTGTCCACCCTCTCCGCTACGCGCATGTCGAGTGGAGCAGAGGAGTTTGTTGCCATACATTCATGTACTGTACACTGAAATCCGTCTCAACGCTGCTCTCTCTGGATATATGCAGGACAGCAGACAACACCGCACAACGTAGACAGTGCACACCTGATGTAGGCTCCACAGCGGAAACGTTGTGTTTCCTTTCTTTTCTTTTTAGCAGGGAGTAAACCCCGTTCCCCGTTCCTTTGCAGCCTACGCACGCCGACGCAGCACCCACTTGAACTACTCCCTAACACCCAGCGATATACAGTACATATGTGGAGAATAAACACGTTGTGGTGAGAAACAAAAAAAAAACCAGCAACACGGTGGAGCTTGCAAACAGGGCAGAGTGCAGGTGTGTATCGAGTCTTGGGCGCTGCACCGAGCTGCCCTCCCCCTGCTGCAGAGCGGCTCACGTGAACAGCAAAGCCTCACTCTGCTTCACCTCGAGGGCACGACCAGCAGGCGGCCTCTGGCCACAGAAGGAGGGTCTTACCCAGACCGGCACATGAAGCCGACCCAGGACCCCCACGTCAACAAGCTGGAGTGTGCCGTTTTGGTTTTCCCTTTCAGCTCCCCAATGTCTGCCTTCTCTCTGCAGCACACACAGTGCTAGGGTTCAGCGGGGTCAGGCCTAGGGCTAGGGGCACGCAGACATACAGTACGGTGGTACTGCGTTGCTGTGATGTGCTCCCGGCCAGAGCTCGGTACCCTTTCGGTGGTAGGCTTTTTTAAAAATAAAGTCTCAAAAGAATAGTCTGTTCTACACGCCTCATCAGTACATAAGCCAAACCCATCCACGTCTCAAGGCATTTAGCTAAATTCAATAACCGGACTCTTAAACCCATCAATGCTGGACTGCTTGATCTAACTGCTAAAGTGAGATTATCTGCCCACTGTGCTGATAAGGCTCAGAAAACGTTTGCTCTCAGAGAAGGGCTTCAATCTGCCAGTGGAGTTTGCTTTAAGTTTTCCCTCACTTCAGAAAGTCAGGGGATTGCACAATCATGTGTTGATATATAATATTTGTTTACTTTGGGGGGGGGGGGGGGTGGCCAAATTATTTACAGATGATTCCTTCTTTCAAGACGATTTCCAATGTTTTCCACAACACATGAAGGGGGGAAAAATCAGTCTATGTGGAAAAACACAGCTCTTCAGAGTTGGTGCATTAACCTTGTCTCACATTTCTCTTGGCTGACAGGGTGTGGGGACTCATGTTTCATCTTAAAGGGTCTCCATGTACAGTACCATTAAAACCTGTCTCGTTTAACCCTCTATTTGTTTATCTGCAACCGCATAAATATGCTCTAGTTTTGAGCGTTTGAGCCCTTAGGACATGAAGTGGGGCCGAAATTAACTGCAAAGGTAGCCAAACCAGATTTACAGTACTGTACACAGCCTCTCTGACCTGTCTTTCAATAAAAGCGTGCCAGTTTATATTAGACGAGAAACTAGCATTTGTTTAGCTAATATTTGGCTTTGTTTAGCCTGATACCAGTTTTAGAGGCAAACAGATATTATAATGAACGGGGGTTTACGTTTATTAATTAACAATTCGGACTGTCTCTCGAGGCCCATGTTAACAAATCACGACCAAACTCCTGATACCGCAGAAAGTGCCGTTTCGGAAAGCAGAAACCAGAATTGCTTCTGTATGAGACCGGAATGCGTTAGAGTTTAGAGCTCAAACCCACAACCAGTTTTTCAGCACAACAAAAATAAGTTTGTACAAAGTTAAAATAATGCCCTGACGAAAAGGGTTTAAACACAATGCAAAGGCAGTATTAAATGTCTAGAAAATTAATTTGTCAACATTAAAACCGACTAAAAGCAGTCATCAAGCATAAGAGTAATTTGCAGACATATTTGCCAGTACTATTACAAATGCTGTCTTAATCGGTTATTAAATACAATAGTGACTGTGAGGTTTTCCCTGATAACTTCTATAATTAGAATTACATGAGAAGGTCTACAATAGTAGGATTATGAATGGCTGACATAATCTCATGTAACTAGTCAATCTAAATTACCGTAGCGGCTGCCTACTGTATGTCCATTCACAACATAAACGCTGTTAAATAAAATAAAAAGAGATCGAAAGGTCTGATTATTCGCACGCATGCACACTGAAATTAACAGTAAAACACAAACAGCATGTCGATACTGCCTGGTCATCGCTTCGGTGGTTAAAATCGAATCAAGAAAATAAAAAAACAGCCCGTTTGACGATATGGAGCTCCTCAATTAAACGCGTTGTTAAAGAAACTCGTACCAGGTATCTGCATTTTAATCCTTTTAATCGTTGTTGATTTTTACAAAAAAAAAAATGGACCTACCAGGTGACTGAGACTTCGGAAGAAAGAATCAGTTATCATGAGCTTCCATTTGTCTTCAATTTCATCCGGAATAGGTGAATATATGTAATACGCAGTCAAGGATCCTATTAGCAGTAAAATTATGCCTTTTGACCCCATTCTGCATTCAAATATAATTGATTTTAGAGAGTGTAGAAACAACCTCTCTGTCAGCTTTGCTGATTAACAAATCACTTCTGTCAGGGCAAAGTGTAATCTGGTATTAATTTTGGAGCGGAGCCAGTAAGATATGACAGCACGTGTTAATGTCATCTGATCATTATATTCAAGTGATCAAAAGCTCTCACCAAGGCGATCACACGCTGGCGCAGTCAGGGGCACTGTAGCGCATTTGCTGTAGTTGATCAAACTCATGCAAAAATAAACAAGTGAACATAAAAATCTACCAGCGTGCCCCAGCCTTCTCGAGTAAAAAAAAAAATATCCGGCAATCTACATGTCCCTCAGACCCCGATGTGTCCTCTCGCATGTCCTCTGAACGGTAAGACTGACCCATGTGCGTGAAGCTGTAGTGTTCGTACCCGCCTGTGTGAGAGAGGGGGTTGAAATAAACTTGAAATACATTGAGCTCATGCGAACTGCAGTGGCTCTCCAACACGGTTAAGTAAACTCGCAGGGCTAGGCAAACTTTTCAAAGTACCGTGTGATTCGAGCAAAACCGTGCACCTTCAAGGAACGAGCTGGGGTTTGCTCAGACCCAGCTGGATCCGGGCAGATGCGCTGGTGTGGGGCTGCTAGCTGTCTTGTTTACGTGGGGAAAGCGATTTGAATATACGACAGTACATCTTCGTGTTATACAAGTATTCCCAGGCGCCTTGGAACCAGTGGGAGTCCTTGGATTACATCGTGTAAACGCCGAGTGATTTGAAAAGTGTTATTCCGTCGATGCGACTTGAATAAGAGAATAAAGCACCGCGCGTCTCATTTCGAAAGGTGCGCCAACCCTATAATTTTCATTAAGCGCGAGCTTTACAGAATTAGATTCTCATTAGCCATCTGTAGAGTAAATCATGTTTCATTTAGCGTCGATATAGATATATAATACAGCCCAACTACAGTTAAAAAAACATTTGCTTTAGGGTTTTGTCTGTCAACGGTCGCATTTGTATTAGGATTATGTCTTTTTTTCATTTCAGGGCGATGAAATGTTTGTTTTAGATAGTGCTCTGAAGTGAAGCAAAACTTATATTCACAAATACGCCATGGGAGAGAGGGGGTGAGTAATTGTTTTGGAGTGTAAGAACTGCCCGACATTCCAATTTTTGTTATTTTAGACCGATAGTTTGTGCAAAAACTAATTGAATTCGGGAGGAAGAGACCAAAACTTCACCTCTGTGCACTGCCTCTGGTGTTTTGATCAGTAGAGGAAGTACACTGATTAAATTATTTTCTTTCCAGGAGGTAGGATTAAGAAAGAATTAGCAAACCAGCAGCTGGACTGAAGTTCTGTGTGTCTAATAACTGGATTCGAAAAAGCAACAAATATCCCCCTCCTTTTCTGTTATTAACGTGAACCGTGAAAAAGAGTCCTACTGTATACAGTATAACATCAAAGCAGCTAGAATGAGATTTGATTGGACCGTTTTGGATGTAATGCAGGTAATACACTACTTTTCTGGGGAGTCTCATGACCTCTCTCTGAGGAAAGTGGATTTCCTGGGCCCCTAAACTGGCAATCACTGTGTTGTCTTATAATAGTGATTTTAAACAGATCTGGTTTACTGTCGTTAACGGAGTTGGGTGAGCAGCTCCGGTATTATTTGCACCCGAGCTTTCTACGTCGTTAATACTGTAGCTAATGTGCCTTAGTGCTTTCCCTGGTACCTCAGGAGGAAAGCGAGGCCGAGGAGAGTTTAACATGCACTGTATGGGCCGGATTTAGGTGTCCGTAGGTTCTTGGCACTTTCACTCTGAAATGTGCAAAAAGAGGGGTCAACGCCAGTTGAATGACTGTACGTCGATCGACCTGATGCACTGTGCCTACAGAGCCTACTGGGACATCCGTCACTGATGGCCCAGGACCCCCGAAAAGCAGGGCTCCAAGATAGCAACTGCTAAACCTAGCAGCTGTGGGGAGGTTCAAAGTCTGTACCCTTTTAAATAAATAACATTCCCAGGGGGACAGCAGTGTTCACAGCAGGACAGGAGTGGCACAGCCTCTGCATCAGCTCATCCCCAGCACGGCCTGATGTTATCAGTGCTGGATTTCCCATTAGGCTCTGTAGGCACAGTGCCTGGGGGCCTCCGAAATCTTTAGGGCCCACGAAGGAGGGAAGCACAATGTGACTCACGAAACACGAGCTGAAGCTCGACTCGAGGTGCTCCCGATCAATCAGCGTATGCTATCCAGCGGCTGTTCTAGAAGCCAGAAGGATCGGAGTGAGGGTCGCTCGACTCGCCCCGTCAGTCAGGGGGTTTAGCATTGGCATAGTTTAGAGTGCATCAAGTCAATCGACGTCGTTCAATAGGCTTTCACCCCTCTTTTTGCCCATTTCGGGGTGAAAGGGCCTGGGGCCCACAAACACCACAGTCCAGCCCTGAGACCAGCAGAGAGGTGGAAAACGGGCCTGAGGTCAGTCTAGTGACCCCCACACGAGGATGCAGACGCGATGCACGGAGAGGTTACAGTGACATTGTTCGGCAGATTGCAAAATAGCAACAATAGCTTTGTCTTCCGTGATGCGGTTATTGTTTGGGTCTTGATTCCATTTGGAAGCCATTGTCCTGGGGAAGTTTTCCTTTCTCCTTTCCTGTATGTGACAAAAAAGAATCTCATGCTGTTTAGTTTAACTTATGCTACCCCTCCCCCCAGCTCAGCGTTTTACATCATTTATGATTTATCAGAGTTTACCGTGGCAAATTTTCAAAGTATTTCTGCTTATTCTGCACTCTTGACTTTGCTTTGCTTTACCGTGCTGGCAGTTGGGTTGTGTCACATTCTGCTTTTCCATACTTCTCCTGGCGGTTTCATCACACAGCTTTACTGCGCTGAACTCTTCTTTTCTAAGGCGTACTGTGGTAAACTGCACTGTAATGTTTTATCAAGTGTTCTACACTTATGGTGGGAAGGCAGCTCTCCTCGTTTCATTGCTCATACACACGTGTGTGAGAGCGTGTTCGTTCTGGTTTTTTTTAGTTTAGAAGAGGCTGCCTCTCTTAATTGAACCGAGCGGGGGAGTCGGAGTCAGACGCCTGCTTGCTTTCTTGCTTGTTAGCTGTCACCTGACATTAACAATCAAGAATGAGCACCAGCTTGGAGCAGCCCCACTTTCCTCCTTTGGGTCCGGAGGTGGGCGACCGATGAGGCAAAATGCTTTTAAAAGCAGCGTCGCCACGGTCGTGTTGAGATTTACGTCCTTTTTTTTGACATCCTTCCAGATACCCACGCAAGCACTTAAAAACCGTTGTAGGTTTATTATGATTAACACTCTCCAGGAAGAGGGAATGTAAGTATAATCAAATACACACTGTATATGCAGTGATTAACTCTTTGTTTTGCAACATGCAGTATCTTGGAACAACAGAATTTGTGGAGTCTTGTTGGTACCTTCCCAACATTGAATCACCAAGTGCTGAAATCTTGTCTAGTCAATAATTACTCCTAAAGCTGGACTTACGCATTGTAAATTCCCAACCTATTTCTATAACATCTGTGATGCTTAACTGGATTATGGTATAAATCCATGTCTGTTTGGTGGGTTTGCTGTGGGGCGAAGATCCAAGGGAGAAATTATAAACTGCTGTGTTGTTTCAGCCCAGGAATCTCTGCTCTGAATCTGAGTATGCAATCTTATTCAAACAGCCCCGGCTCACTGCACTTGCAATACCATGTACATGTAGTAGTTCTGCAATCAGAGCTGAATTATGGAGAAATGAATTGATAGAGACATACTGTGCTTTAGTACCACACATTTCAAACTTCACATTTCAAGGGTGCAAGTGAACAAAGGTTTCATACCCACAACATATTTTATTTGGGTTAAAGACAATGCTTCTACTTTCTACAGAATACTCAAAAGGCCCACACCCCATCAGCATTCCTTCACGTTCCTTGATCTGAAATTCCTACAGCGATTGACAAATTGTTGACAATTAAAAGGCTGTCAAAGCCGATCAATGTCATATATCCAGGAGACTGTGAATGTCAGATGGTGACCTTATTAAAACTTTCGTGCCGCTCATAATGGTCTTGTGGCACTGTATGCTTTTGCAAGTCACTGAGTGAGTCTGAAGATGTCAGCTCAGGCTTAATAATTTCATGCTTTGAGATATGAAAGTCACAGTTTTTTTTTCTGCTGGTTTCTGTACAGATGGATGCATTTAATTGGAAGCATTTTAGATTTTAAAAAGTAGCTTATTGAACAATAGGCATTTGAACAGGCCTTGACCAACATGACCTGTATACAGGTAACTAATGTACATTAACACAGTAGTACTGTGGGGTTATTACTACGAATCAGAACATCTCACTGTCCTTTTCATTCTTTGTGTTTCAGGCCTCGGCTGTGCTTGATCATATACTTGTTTCTAGCTTTATTAGCTGCAGTGTGTGACACTGCAGAAAAGTGTTGAGTGCATTGCTGGCTGTCTTTCAAAGAATACCTAGACAGACAAGACAGCATTTGGCAGCATTACTGCAGCACTGAATCATTCATCCCAGTTTGCTGTGTTCACTTGGGACCCTGTTGTGTCAGCATATTCATCCTGTGATGGCAAACAACATGCCCTTCAGCATTTTACAGAAATGCAGTCAAGAGGCTGAGTGATCAGGGATTTCTCTATTTTTTCTCTTGAACAACAAGCACGAGAGAGCTTCTTGTCTGTTGATCAGTCCTTTCTGCCCCCGTGGCTTGAGATATGACTTGTCACATGCTATCATGCTGGGTTTGTTTTTAAATTCTGCTGCAGCTAGTATTGACATGGACCCAGGACAGTTTCTCAGTTAAACAGAGCAGTCTTTTTGTGGAGGAGAAAGGGAAGAGAGCAGGAATATCTTTAGAAAAGTAATGAGAAGAAAGGCTACACAGACAGAGCCAACTGGACCAGCGTGCTTGTCAGGCTGCGAATACAGTAGATAATTGATTCAAGATCCTTTTTCTTGAAGAACACCCCCAGATCTCAGTCCCTTGATAGCTTTAGGTAGGTTGCTCCAAAATAGTAAATCCTGCACATGAGTACTCCCAAGATTCGGTGTAAAATATCGGCAGCTATTTTCAGTCCTTGCCCTTGCACTCACCTGCAGTCTGGATTCCTGTGCAGGCTGTGGATCAGATTTAAACATGAATTTCAATTCAAAGTGCGGCTGATGTACTGTACCTATCTATTTTTTTCAGTCTCTTCAGTAAACTATTGTTTCATTAAAATAGGATATAAAGAGTTTCAGACATTAATTAGTTTACATACTGTATAGGCAGGACCATATCATCAACAGCTAAACTATGCTTCAACATACCGTATGTGCAG